CATGCGTGACAGAGACAAAGCATTAAAATTGACGAAGAAACGTCTTGAAAGGTTACGCATATCTTTTGCGGCGGTTTCTATGATCTACTAACCTTGTCTTAACACTCCCTTTAACCTGGGATGTAATCAGCTTTAGTGCATTACTCAGGATTTTTTACGTTCATACTTCTCACAATTGACAACCTTAAAAAGTTTTCGTTTAAAACTCGGGAAAAATGTTACTCAATGTTTCTCATGAGTTTTTCATGCATCCTATTCAACACAGCGGTGAAATCTCTGTAGTATATGTGTTACTAATGGGCCCCACTTACTATGACGATATGCCACGTATTTAAGGCTAAAAGTTGACATAATCCGATGGCAGTAATCGCTTTTCTTTTCGCTTACTTCTGCTGTGTTAGATCAGCAAACTATAAAATAGCAGTATCATATGTATACAGAACACTTTCGGCCATCTATACCATTGCAATACTTGAATTGTTTTGTCATGTTACAAGATTACGTAGGGTGGATCTTGCAGTGAAGTACTAGCTTAATTACCCTCTCATATTAGTATGCTCTCCTTTTCATATTGTTTGAAGCAGCCTGAATCCAACATTGTTTAATTTCTACTATTCATAGATTTAAATCAACCGACAATGTGCATTGTATTCATGTACTTTTGTGACGACCCAAGCCCTGATGGATACCGTCTGATTGTTGCATCAAACAGAGATGAGGTTTATTCCAGACCTACAGCCCAAGCAAAGTTTTGGGACGAATATCCTGATATCATTGCAGGTAATCTGTTTTAATTAAACAGTGTTTCCCTTTTTACATGTAAGAGACTTTTACTAAATAGAGAAACCGTCATCAACTGGTCTCTGTACGCTCGCAAGTGCGCCGAGCCTGTTAGGCCAGCGACGAAAAGAGATTCTGATTCACTTCTTGGTCTTGTAGGATTTCCTAGCCTCAAATGGGTTGGGGGTTTTCAGTTAAGGCGGGCCCTTTAAGAATCCCAGACCCATAAGAACTAAAACATTGAAAACAACTACAACTCGTCCTTATTTGCTTCATAACGAAGGACATTTCCAGCTCATTTAAATGGCAAAACTAGTTTAACAGAATCCGACTTGTTTTGTGCGCAGGAATGGACATGAAGTCAGGAAGAGAAGGTGGAACGTGGATTGGAATGAAAAGTGATGGCAAATTTGCTGCTACTACGTTTTACAGACAGTCGAAAAAGTTCACTACCTCTAAAGCAAAAGGGAGAGGCCATCTTGTTTCAGACTTTCTGAAGGGTGACGATGACGTTGAGAATCACCTCAAGAAAGTAAGTAACGAAGGAGACCTCTACAATGGATTCAATCTTTTGGTGGGTGAATTGTCACCAAATGGTGAGACCGAGGTGGGATGGTACTGTAACATTGAAGATAAACAAGTCACAATGTTGAAACCTGGGATTCACGTTTTATCGAACAAAACGTTGAACTGTTCTTGGCCCAAGATGGGTTATGGGAAAAAAAGATTCGCCAGAATAATAGAAGAAACTTCAACTAAAGAAGATCTTGTTGACGAGCTGCTCTGGCTGCTGAAGGCCCGACAGAGGTAAGTGCAGTTTTTGTTCTCCGTAGCTTGTGAAAGCCGTAAACTGATCGACTCCAATAAAGTGTTGGAAATTAATAATAGTCATTAAATAGAATAGGAGAGATGGTAAGTTTTGAGCTCGGTTAAGACATAGAGAAAGATGTTTTCGTCTTGTCGCGAACGTGGGACAAAGAAAAAAATTCTGAGGCCCCCCTGAGGAATCAAAACTTAGACCTTCGGATTCCGCGCTCCGATACTCAACCGCTGAGCCACAGAGACTCTACGATGAGCGAGGTCTATTACGAAGTTCATATCACACGCATCGTGCATACTTCTAGGATCAGCAATGTCGATAGCGTCATGTTTTTAAATAGAATAAGAGAGATGGTAAGTTTTCAGCTTGGTAAAGAAATAGAGAAAGATGTTTTTCGTCTTGTCGCCTCATTCTTTGATCAAGCCACATACTAGATCAGCACTTGTACTCATTAGCTTTCCTGTTGTGTTGCGGTGTTCAGATCTTTTAGTGTAAGTTGCGGTGATCACAACAACTTCATTGCGGCTCAAGATGAAGGGTTCGATGAAGCTCTTATTGAAGCGTCACGGGCAGTTTTTGTCAGGCATCAAGTTATGAATTTTGGAACAAGGTAGGAACTGCGTCAATTTTGGTAAGAGTTGATTGGAAAAGAGAAAAATTCTATTTAGGAATCGCAGTTATTATCATGTTCCTTGCCTCTCAAAGCTAGGGTTTCCATAATTGAAAATACTAAGATTTACGAATATAAATTTTCTTTCCTAGTTATATTTGTTTTTATGTTCAAACATGCTCAAATATGAGCCAAACTGAAACTAGCCTAGTTCCAGGACGCTCTCTCGTAGTCTCTCACAGTCGATCCATCCCTGTTAACTAACCTCAGCGAATAGCCGTCTTATTTGACTGACCACGCCACAGTCCTAGAAACTAGGGAAAACATTAGCTCCTAGTTCCATATGGTTCACGGAAACTGCTAATATTATATCCGCCGCGTATGCAATCTTCATTGTTGCAGGTAATTTAGTGTTAACAACTAAGTTGAAAACATAAATTAGCCACCGTAAAGGGTAAAAAAGCTGACGTTTCGAGCGTTAGCCCTTCCCCATCGCTCTGACGAAGGGCTAACGCTCGAAATGTCAGCTTTTTTACCCTTTACGATGGCTAATTTACGTTTTCAACTCAGTTGTTAACACTAAATTACCTGCTATACTCTTCCACCGACGCAGCACCACAGTTTCTTTAGAAACTGACCCCTTTATTCAATCTTCATTGTTGTCTACTTGTTCTCAGAACCAACACAGTGATGTTAGTTGATGCCAATGGACACGCTACGTATGTTGAGAGAACTATGGACGAGATTGCCTCTGACCCTGATGAAGCAGAGTGGACAGTGAACTCCTATGAGTTTGAAATGTTCCAGAAGACTGGTATCTGCACCGCGCACGAAAAATCAAAAGAAAAACCTAAAAGAAGGAAGAAAGGCATTTGGAATATAGAAGGGATCCTGGAGAAATCCTAGCTTGCAAATAAACTGACGTTATAATAAATCAGACAATTGTTTACTCACCCAAAAAGCATCAAGCTACAACAATATACGTGTGTTTGCTCAATGAGGAAACACTTGTTAATAGGTAAAGGCATTTACAAGTTTTGATGGCCAAAGATAAACGCGATGCGGATTTGTTAGTTCAATTACATGAGCCGTGTTTTAATTTTATCTCGAACTGCGGTTCCCGAGAGTTATTGGCGAAACCAAAGACTACGAGGAGCACTACGAGAATAACCAAAGCATTAAAATCACGATTTCAACCGAAATTTGTCGTACCGCTGATAAAAAATGCTGAGTAAGCTTCGCTAGACAACAAAACATCCAGAGCCATAAACAATATTTATTTTTTCATACCATTAACAAGATAAAAACTGAACGTATACTTTGATTCGCAAAACCATTTCTGAGTATTTAGAAATCGACGAAAATAATGTTAAAAATAGATATTTATGTGAAGAAGCTATGAACAGGCCAGTTGAATCAAATAAATATTGCAGTGATATAGTTCTCAAGTATTGAGAAAAATAATGTAGATTCCAGTGGTCTGGTTACCTGTTAGTTTCCTTTTCCAGAACTGAGACACACACAAAGTAACGAACCAGTCCACCATGTATACGTTGTAAACACGTCATTACTTAACAGTAAAATTATATGCGCATTCAATGCTCTTTACTTTGAGATATATATCCAGTATAAAACCTTTTTTAGACTTTCCACAGCCTCCCTTTCTGGTATCAAGCTTATGAAAGGCAAAGGCACACAAAAACTACACGCATGATGGGAGAAGCCTGAGATTTAGATAAAGGGAAAAAAATCGCAGCCACCACACTCTGCCCCGCGGAAAATGTAACAAAACAGAGGGCTGTCAACTTCCGACTTACATTTGTGTACATGGTGGCTGTGTATGAATCTATAATTTATAATAAATCTTAGCTACATTTATTCAAACTATATCTATACATATTTTGCATCACCTTTAAAGCTCTTTCTGGCTTTGTGTTTCAGCCCCGTTAACAGAATCAATAAATACAACTTCGTTCCATTGATAAATTATCCTAACTACTCTAATTAAATCTGTAACTGTTTTTGTGTTTTTAGGATTATCTGTATTTTCCTTCGCAAAGTGAGTTGAAGGTAACGAAAAAGATGTTGTGATCCTAATAAATGCTTTCGTTTTCAGTGCCGAAAAACATTGACGTGGGATTCAGATAAAATGTGCTTTCAAAATTGGACCCTCTTCGGTTCTCTTAAACAGTCTCAGTAATGTTTTCTGTGCTTAAGCTTGTTTTTGTGCAAAGAATAATTTCTCTCTCATTCAACCATATCATTAGCAGCGTTCTCATGTTTATATACACTTAACAGTTTTCTCTCTTGGCTGGTAACGGGTTCTTTACTAAGTTCTATACAAAAAACAAAGCTGGTGAATCTATAAGCCTTAATATCGTATAAATGGCAAGACAAAAAGAGGCATAGTTCATCAAAATGAATATTGTAGCCTGCATGCTCACCGTCCTTTCTAATACCCACTCGGAGGGTAATGTTTTTAGGGTTATCAGACGTTAGAACAATCCAGTTTAAAATAAGGATCATATTTTAGTAATTTCCCTGTCTTCTACATTTCGTGCGATGTTTGGTTGTGAGTGTGATCGTATTCGCTCTATTTTTGCTTGGCTCCCAAATGTGTGATATTTCAACATACTCTTCACAAGTATCTGGGAAGGAGATAAAAACACAATGAAATGTGTTTAAACGAAGAAGAGAAACTTGTAAATTAGTCATAGCTGTCGCATATACAATTTCCTGCCAATGAATTATTAATAGCTGGCCTTTATGTGCCAAGAAAGCACCTTTTGCCCAGAAAAGCCAGGCATCATCAGACTGATATATAACTCGCTCTTCGAGCCTACATTTTGAATTCGATTAGCCAACTAAACGAATGTAGACTTCAGACTAAAATGACGGGTTTGTCTCTAAATTCTGACTCATTTCTAGCTTAAGCGTGAAGAATTTGTCAACCAGGTTTGACAAATCTTCATCGAGGGATTTTTCTTATTCAAAAGGATAACTGTTGCAGTTCGAATTTCCAAAGCACGAAGAGTTTAAACTAAAAAAATCGATGACGTCTCAAGCTGAGGTGCAGATCTCATGCCCAGCACGCTAACCGCTGGACTATCCACCACAAATCTCCATTTATGGTGGTCCGGAAGGGGGGGGGGGGGGCATTTTCTTAAAAACGAATACAAACGAATACAAACGAAGCTTAAAGTGGTTCAATAGGAATCTTATACTTACCAGGGTCTTAATTTTTGGAATAGACTTTACACTGTTCTGAATATCATCATCAGTGACTTCAATAACAGTACAGTTTTCTTCAGTGGTAGGGAGAGGATGTTTACCGCCGTAAGTAACCCACGGATGCTCCTGTTTGTAGATAACAATAAATAGATTATTAATCTACGCTGACCAAACAAGCGTGACAGTGGTCAAACACAAGGATAGCATGGCTACTAAGGCTTAAGATGGCACTTAGTGTAATTTTTTTTTTTTTGGGTTTTTTTCTCATACAGTAAAACAACGAAACAGGAAAATGTATACCAAACAAGAGCTACGTAATTTATCGACTTTGACATCAAGAACTTAAATTAGCTTTTGCTGACTTAGCAAAATCAATCGTTAATTGAGAACACACGGCGAACTCCAAAATCCAACAGTCGACACAAGAACAAGATAAATTTGAACAAAAAATGTATACTATCGCTTCAGACTTGGGCGTGTTGGATTACAACTCTCTCGATCACAACTTCTGCACCGGTTTCTTCAAACTTTTGTTGACATACCTTGATCTGTTGTATGGTAATTCTTTCACTAGGATCTTTCGTCAGCATTCTCAAAATAAGATCCTCTAACTGGGGATTTAATACAGGTCTACAAAGTGTAAAGAAGGATGAATATTTAGAGTTTAAACTTAATTCCACTGTCCCTTTAGTTATACAATTGAAGTCTAAGTTTGAGACAGTGATTTTCTGTAATAAGTATCGGATGATGCTGCAAATTAAAAGCTGAACGCGGGAAATAGGTTTACAAATGTGGAAAGGGAGAACAAGCATTTCTTTAGAACTAAGGACTGGAAAGACTGGGCATTCTCAATCTATGGGTTGAGTTTGCGATAGGCAGTCATAAGATGCGATAGCTGATTTGTGTGAAACTGAAAATTTTGACCTCAATAATAGGAAAAAAAGTTTAACGGTACTTACTCCTCAGGAAAGGTCAGCCTGAAAGCAGAAACATATGTAAAAGAAAGGAGAAGAGAGATTATTTCAGAAAATATTCCAACACATACGACGAATTGTGGGCAAACAAACAGTGTCGGAATAAATAGCAGAAAAGTTTTGTTGTTCGGTACTCATTCTTGAGCGGCGTTTAACGGCAATTTAAGTTGCATTTACGGCATTTACTTGAGAACAACGTGTAATCAAGTAAATAATGTAAAAAAATTTACAGTCATTAACTGCCATTTCCGGGATTTAAGCAAAGAACATTTTATCAAATATGATATTGATCGCAGTGACGGTGTTTTTAAATTAATTCCACTGGGTAACTTACTGTTCAGTCTTTATCTTCTCGTACAGTCCCATCCTATTTTGGTCGTCAAATGGAACCTGAAGGACCAAGTTATGACACTCTCACTTCTTTTGTTCTGTCCTTTAAATACTAAATACGATTGAGTTTCTTTATATTTTGACTCTGCTGCTCATGGTTCTCCGCTCTTGTTTAATACAAATTCAAAATTAATTACAATGAACAAGTCAATTCAATCAATTTGAGGACAGCAGAATACAGATTCCTAAAAATAAGCTTCCTTAATTATTTACTAGGTTAAAAAGATCAGTGTCAAAGACTAATTACAAAAGAAAAAAATATATACTATACTCACAATAGAAATAAGATAATTACGATAAAAAAATTGGCACTGAATTTATCATAAAAATAATTCAACAATTTCTTGCGTAAGACTGGCAAGTTGTTAGACTCCCTAATGTTGAGGGGTAGTTCGTTCCATGCGCGATAAACCCGAGTAAAAAATGAATTCTTTAAAGTTTCTGTTCGACTGTCAGTGGAACCTTTCTGTACGACTGGCGAGGATCCCAAGAAACCGGCGGAGTTCAACTTCATCTGAATGAACATTTCTACTCTCTGATGAACTGATAGGTGACAGGAAAACATTTTAAGCTACAACTCATTTACCTTGCCAAAGACAAAGCAGTAAAGAGTGATTCCAAGTGCCCATATGTCGGCCGCTTTTCCACTGTATTTGTCCCGTGAGTCTAAAGACCAAAAAAAATCAGCCAACCAAACTCTTAAATTATTGAAACTTTATTAAAAATTTAAAGCAGGAACAGCCAAGATGTCCAGTTAACACCACTATGTGCTTGATTAGACTACTCTGTACGATTGAATTGTAATTACTAATACATCCAAAACGTTTCAAAATGAAACTTAATTATTCCATGGTCTATTTGCTGCTGACTCAGCTCAATGTTTATTACGACCACTGTGGTGAAACCGGCAATAAATTTACAAACCAAACCTTGTCAGAATGATTAAAAGTTCACCTGTTTCAAGGTGTTACTCTCCCGTGTGGATAAAAAGTTAAAAAATGTACTCCAATATAACAACCTATGCAGCCTTAACTCAAACAAATGTCATATGACTTCAGGTTTTCTATTCACAAGAATATTTGGACCAACTTCAGGTCAACTCACCTGTTACTAGGAGACTATTCCTTTTTTTTTTAATCTAAGCTTGAACTAAAAGTTTTGCACTCCCACCAAAAACAAAACAATTCAAAGAACACCCTATTAACAAGATTTAAGGACAAGAAATCTGGGCTTACTTTGTAAAGTTTCTGGAGCCATAAAAGCTGGAGAGCCTGCAGTTTTATTTAACAAGGCATCATCACCTTCAAAAACATCAGCCACTCCAAAATCTGCAATCTGGGATAATATGTAAGCCTGCTGTTAAATGAGCTTACAGCCAAAACAGATGTAGAGTCCTTTTCACCCCACCCCCCCCCCCCCAAAAAAAAAAGACAAAAAAGACAAAACAAAACAAAAAATGAGATGAATGCAATCCTTGTTACTTATACCAAAATTCAAAGAAGTCTATTTCTGCTTGTGTATGAAAAGCATAAAATTTTTACCTGATTCATTGATCCACCAAAAGTAAGTTGGTGTACAGACTACAGGAATAATTTGGAAGGTGGCTAACAGCACACACAGTCGTTAATAAGCTTGTGATTTAGCCTGTAATTTGGCCAGTAAACTAAGTTCCTCGTGACTTCACAAACATAGCACAGATAAACTGACCACATTACTAAAAGTTTTACCTTAATATGGCCATCTTCTCCCAATAACAGATTTGATGGCTTTATATCTCGATGGACGATCTTTTGATAATGTACTATGAACAAAACAGAAGATAACTTGATACTGAATATTTGTGAGAATTGTTTCAGTGATTATAAATAAGATGTCATTTCAGAAATGATCAACACTGATACAACTTACAGTATTCAATTCCTAGCACAACATCAACAAAATATTTCCTAGCATTTTGTTCTGACAAGGCTGGCCCAGGGACCTCCATCACCTCTCTGTTTTGATAAAATATAAGAATGAAAAATAAAGAATGTGAGTTTACTTGTTAAGTCACAGATTTTTTTTATAGACCAGCCAATTAGAAACTCTTTATCACACAAAAATTTACAACCAAGGGATTTGTCTTGTGAGACTTCTACATTACACTAGTGCACTATTGCCTACACCTGATGGGCAAAAACCCAGTTACCTCTAGGGATGCTAACTATGCAGTATAAACAAAATATCAAAGCTCTGTTGGTGTTTCACAAATTTTACCATGTAGTTTGCCTTGCAAATGTGATCACAACAATACTTAAGAACATATTTTCAGGCTCAAGACAAGAAAAAGAAAAACCTCAACATGGATGTATTAAGGTCAGGGATTTTAATTCCTTGCGTGGTATTTCTTGAATGCTATTGTTTCCATGGTTTAGACATCATTACATCACTTTGCAAGAAAACAGATACTGAGGATAAGGTACTGGAGTGAGAAAGAAGCAGGTTCATAATTTGTACACTTAAGTCCTATGGAGAGATTATATCAGAGGTGTAACCCTCACTTACCCTCCATCCATGAGCTCAAACACTGCAAAACAAAAAAACAAAGTATATTATGCGTAGTGCTAAAAACATACCATGTCCAGAATATTTTTTTTAAGAAAAAAGGGAAAACAAAAACACTCAAAATTAAAGGTACCTACCCAGATAGAGATTATCCTCAGTAGGATCATCCAAAACCTAAAGCAGGTAAAACCAAGACTTGGTAAATGCTGATGTCTTTTAGTTCATTGAGTCTTCAACTGTTATGTAACAATGGGAGGTTTCATGCAGAAAGAAAACGGCACTCTGCTGCCACAGTAGACTTACTGCTTTGCAAGGTCTTCTCCAAGACACTCTTAACTCACACTCCTGTTTCTTTGACTTCTAATCCCAATTTTTCCTCTTATTTTCAGGTGAGGAGTGGTTTAAAGATGTGTATTATATTTGGATACTTAAAGGTTTAATAGAACAACTACTGACGTTCATTAATCAAAAGAGAATCTACAGTATGAAATAACTATACCTCATTGAGGCTCACAACATTGGGATGATCAACTTTTTTTAGAATTGCAATTTCTCTTTGCAAGTTTTCCAATCCTGTGTTCTTTCCTTTATCACTAGGACGTCCTAGGAGAGAAAACAGCAAAAACAAGAGGTTGTAATTAAGTTAACAAAACAAATTTTTCCATCAAAAATACCAAATTGCAAATAGAAACAAATAAATGTAACAAACAAATTTTAAACTAATAATGACAATCTCATCACTGACAAAAAGGACTACATGTATTTGTTACCCAAAAGAAAATGGCTCTAAACAACAACTTTACTTGAAGTTCTTCGCTAGTTCTTGGGAAGTTAAAAGTAGTGGAATATGACTGTAACAGTGTTTAATAAAAAGTCATCAGGTCATCCTAAACTTACGTAAGCCAGCCTTTCTCATCACCCTTTTCTTTGAAATGATCTTCATTGCCTGTCAACAAAGTTGTAGACTTAGACTTGTTTGAGTTTGCAATGTGTATTCTACAAATAGTGAGAAGTCTTTATAGAAATGGAATTATACAGGGCTCACATTGAAAAGGGAGGAGATGGTCCATTTGAACAACAGCTTTAAATTTTCATAACCAGTGCAAGCCCTTTGGCATCTAATAATCAGGTGTAGAGGTGAGAAAAGGAATTGAAAACAAGTTACTACATCTTGTCATACTTACATAGTTTGTCTGATCAAAATCAGAGTAACAGAGTCTAACAACTCCATATGAGCCCTTGAAATAGAAAAGGAATGGGGACATTTAAATTGGGCACAAACAGGTATGATGATGTTGTACTTAAAACTGATAACTGGTTTTGAACTATCATGTGTATTGAAAGATAAAAAGTGAATTTAACTCCAAAGTTTAGAATAAATTGGCAAAACTAAACACAATTTCAGAATTTAATTATATAAAACCATTATTAACTTTGAAGACAGCTCTGGTTTAACAATCAACTTAAAACAAATTCCTAATTTCAACTCTGTAATTCAATAAGTTCAAAATGAATCTTTTAGAAAAGTGTAGAATTCTTTGACTCACAGTTTCACCAATAAGAGCAATGTTTTTCATGGAAAAATACAATTTGTAGTGACTAGTATTGACTGATACTTTATCTCACCTTCCCAATTTCATCCATAAGTCTATACTGATTGAGCTGAAGAAAGTTCTGGTAAAAGATTTGAAATAAGTTAACATCAAGTAAACCTCTATTAGAGTATTACATTAAGGGGGCATTTAGGATCCACTGAACAGTCTTGCTCAATTACTACAGTAACAGCACCATTATCAAAGTAATGGAATTTCCAGCGTTTGAGTGGATATGAATTGGCTGTAAATGAAATATTTCTGTGGCACAGGAGCAGTGGGGACTTGGGTAGTTGAAGTGCAGCATGGGTAGAATATTTGTCTCAATTTGACAGGAAGATATGCACAGATATCTGTCTCCATTTGGCATGAAGATATGCACAGATATGTGTCTCAATTTGGCATGACGATATGCACAGATATTTGTCTGCAGAGACTGCCTGTTCTAAAAAATGAACAGTTTTTCACCAACCATGTGCAAGAAAAAAATATTTTATGGATTATATTATGTGAAATAATAATTATATACCTCTGTTTCACAGATGGAGACACTGCGGGATTCCTTGGTAGGAGGTCTCTTGAGACGAGGAGAGGATGATACTGAGCCTGCACTGCTTGGTTTAGACGATATGTGGGGTACCTCTGACGGATCAAATACACTGCTGCTGTTGAGCAAATCAGGAGTGGCTGAACTCCGCCTTAAAGATGCAAAACTTGCCTCAAGTCTTTCACCTAAAGTTGGTTGGGATTCTCCCACATCTGATCTGTTTTCATCAACAACACTGACTTTTGTTTTGGGAGTTGCATTCAGTACACCTGAACCTTTCTTTACTAAAACCTTTTCCTTACTGTGTTGTCTTCCATCGATTATACTATTTGAGGCAGCTACTTTGTTGTGTCTATTAAAAGTTGATCCAGCATTCCTTATGCCATTGCTTGTTCCTCCAGCTGAGTGGGTGACAGACCTGGAATTAAGTGTATGAGATTAAATTCACTTCCTGTGCATAAATATAAATTACTTTAAAACTAGCATTGGTTAAGTATCATTTGCTGAAAGAATTCCAGGTAAATTACAAAACATTTTCATTGTATATAAGAATATTGAGGTATCTGTATGGAAGATATTATATCTGTTTTTCATTACCTAATTCAGGCCTTACACAAATTTAATTCAAATTAAATCATAAATGCTGTATTCTGTCAGAGGTGATTTTTCTATGTGATTCACTACAATCCTACCTAGAACTTTGAAAATCTTTGAGTAAACAGTATCAGTTAAGGTAACAGATACTGTGTGGTTTAAGAGATTTTAAAGTCTGCAGCTATATTTTTCCTTTAAACATAATGTAATATAACATCAACATAATGTTCCCTTGAAACATCATGTTTAGAGTTGACAAGTCTCTAGTTTTAATGACATCAAGGAAAGAAAAGCTCAAAACATGAGGAGTTTATACAATTACCCAGGTGCATAACCTGTTCAACAGGTATTGGACTTCAGTGATCAGACAGATAATAAATAGTATTCCCAAAGCTTTTCCATGTTTTTGGCTCATGTCATATTATATTATTGACAACAGCCTTTCAACTTGCTTACAAATTAAATTATCAGTGAGGTGTGTCAGACTCATTGACTTAACTTTGAATTCACAAAAGTTAGACACTACTTGTAAGGAGAAACATAGTTATATCCAGTCAACAAAAATATAGCTCAAGAGAGTAAGGAAGTTCATCAATCTTCTTGCGGAAGGTTTTGGCAGCTTCTATAAAGAGCTACCTTGCATAATAGTGTATATGGGTGTAAAAGCAATGTCATTGTTAGTATCTTAAGATCCTGCATTGACAAAGTTGATGTATAAAGCCTTGTTCCAAAGTGTTATACACAGAACATTCCCTACAGAAAATGTCTCTGACAGATTAAACCCTACACATTATGATGTTAACAAGTTACCTGAGTTGTTTTTTAAACCAATTCATGTCCCCAGGTCAGGAGAGAATACATAAGATTGAGTGACAAGAGAGTACAAGTAAACAGCAGGAAGACTATGTGTAGGGATCACTCCAACAGGAGGTAACCAACAAATAAATTAAACACAGTTCCATCAGTTTTAACCCTTCACAGTTATTTTTTCATTGTTTAAGTTTTGCCATCTGGTTAAAAAAGAATAATTAGCATCACAATAAAACATTAAGCTCACCTATTGTTGTTCTTTAGAATGACATAAAATACATCAAGAAACCCTTAATAACAGGTTGGGTAAACCACAAGTTCATTGTTTGTCTGATTGCATTCCTTTGTCTCAGTTTAACTCACAGTCAGTAGTTCATCACAAAAAAATGAAACAGAACTCAAGCTACTTGGGATTTAAATATTTTAAAACTCAACTATGGAAAAGAGAGCAGTGAACATTATAACTTAGCTGTAATTGTAAAATCTGTCAGAAACCTTTTCCTGCTAGATACAGTGTATACAATAGCAACAGCACAGGGGCTGTTTGTAATTTAAAAATAATTCAATATCTGAGGTGATCAAAAAGGTATGTACAGTATGTGTGTGCTCCTTCAAAACATGGATTCTGAAGTAAAATTCACAAGAAACACCTTTTGATAGATTGGGAGTAAATTTCAGGTGGAAATAATTTCCAGTAAGTTTTATAAATAAATGACAATGAAAAAATCACTTGTACCATGAAAGAATATGCAATACTATTCATGTGATAACAATTTTTGAAGGTTTAGTTTTAAGTACTTAGTGTCATGCCTGGATGCACTAAAAAGCAAACCTTGTGTCTATAAAAATTTTTATAGTTACTGACCTAAAACATTCCCATTTTACAGATATCTTGATGAAAATTATTACATGTTTAGAGAAAATATCCAAGTTGGGTTATCAGAACTCAAAGTATTAAAAGGTACCTGTTTGACACTGTGACTTCTAAACTAAAACTGCTGAAAGACATGATATTTAAAGCAGGCCATCTTGAAATCTGTTTAAATATCTCCCAACATGAGAACCCTTCAAAAAACCCTTCAAAAGTTTGGAGGCAAAGGACAGATATTTCCTAACACACTCACTAACTTAATGAAAAATATTCAAATATTCACAGATGATTGTGAATCATTAAAATTTCATACCAATTTTTCTTTTATCTCATATGCTGACTTCAATCAGATCAGCATGAACATGTCTCAAGCTAAAGAGCCTTTCAGTTTATTGCCTTTGCAGCTCAGTGAAAATATTGAATGAAATAGTTTCCCTGTTAACCCACTAAAACTGTACATCTTTGTGTGGAATACATTTTTGACTCTGGTTAATTAAATATTTGGCAAAAGCATGTTAAATAAAAGATTATTTTTTTCTTAACTCACTTGTACATTATTTAATGATTCTTGAATCCTTCAAACATTTTTATTTAATATGTTTTTGTCCATCATGAACAATGATACTACAGAACATCAGAATTGTAAACAAACCTAAGGTTTACGGAGACCAAACAAAAATATTCAGATTTATTGCACATTGGTGGAGAGAGACAGAGATAATATTCTGATGATATCTCCATTCAGTTAAAAACAAGTCATTATTTTTAATATCAATTTATGCAGTGCAGTTCTCAACAAAGAAGTAATATTATTACTACTTTCACTTAATTAGTTAGCAGAACACATTCTTCAGGAAAAGTATTAAATAGGCTAGAATTAGGAATTTTTGCTTTAGATAATAAACATCACTCTCTCTTGGCATTTGAAATAAAAAGAAATACAAAAATTATGAGTCGTGCTTCATATTTGAGGGAGCAACACAATACAAACAAATTAGCAAGCTTTATCAATGATGTTGTTAGCATAAAAACAGTTACCATGAAGTTGATTATAGTCTGTCTCAAGATCATTTCCTTTGTGGCAATTAAAAAAGGTTAGACTTTGGCAACTGAAAAATTCCAATAGCATAGAAAACTAGCCTTGAGTAAATGAAGAAACTTAGCATCTCTAGGCAAGGAATGGACACAGCGTTACCTTAACATTAATCTAATATAATACTCTCACTGTAGCCTACAATCACCACTTACCTGTTGTTAGGAGATAGTTTGCCTTCTCCTGTTACATTAACCTTTGATGGTTGGCTAGTACATGCTGTTAGAAAAGAAAAATCAAGTCACTCAATAAAATGGTCCAAACCAAGGGGAACTTTTTATTTAAAAAAAAAATATATTAAATGTCTGTTCTTCTTTTATCTAAACCTTAGAAGTAAATGTAAATCATTAACATAACCAATTAGTTTTACTTAATATACAACTTCACTCCATCTTTAACTTACCCATTTCAGAGAAGATTTTTTTTGTGTAGTAATTTCTTATTCTTACAAAACTATTGCTACACTCATTTTTTCAACCAAAATTAAATTTTCAGGGCCACAAAGATAAAGTTGTACAAAGTATGTCAAACCACTAAATCATTGTACAAATTGGAATCAGGACACTAACCACTACTTTGTAAAAATAAGCTCCTTATTGGCAGATCACCTTAACACCTTTAACAATAAGATTTAACTAATGCCATTTTATCCCATATTATGATTCATAGAAGCAAGTAATGCTATTTATTTATTTTGGACGAATCTTTATGATCATTTGGTCTTATATCTATAAGCAACTTTAAACACCACTTCTACACAAAATTTTTTTAATCAATATATCCCTAACGCCAAAACTTCAAGAACCACTTTTAAAGAAGGACTGAGGCAGGTTTCACCACCTCAAAAAATAATTTAATCAATTATTAAATAACTACCCCTTCAAAATGATTTTATTATGACTAAAAGAAAAGCTAGATCACCTGCTCCCATAATGCCACAGGGAAGAGAAAAAACTATCTGCCTCCAAAGAGATTTACAAAACTTCTCGCCTGTGAAAAAGCATAATTGCAAAATTACAGGAAAAAACATAAATCAGCTCTTGAGTACAAAAAGACAAATATTGTACAACAATAATCAAAGGTAAAAAAAGGGAAAGAATGATGTCAGTTTTTAAAGTTATAGTGTTTGTAGAATCCAAATTGAAAATTTAACAATAACTACTGGGTGGGCATTACTGATTTAACAACTTATAGAGAGCTACATATTACAAACACTTCAGAGCAATTGTGAAAGATTTAAAGGTAAATCAAAGACTTATACTTTGTACATTCCCTGAAAAATATTCTGTAGAAAAGAAACCTGCTTTAATCTGGTAAACAATTATTATATCATTACACAAAGACACTCACCCTAAAATAATTTTGTTTGCAAAAAGATAATTCCATGGCAGGGGTAATTAAGGTCTTCAATTTCAAACTTTCACCAAATGCTTTTACTGAATCAGCCTGCCATTAAAGTTTTCCAGCTATGGTATGAAAATTAGCTTCCCTAGAAAATTAGGAAAAAAAATCAGTTAAAAGTTATTTGAGAAGTCATTCTGGAGAAACAAAAACATCAAGAACATCAAAAGAGTGAGAAAATGCTTTCACTAACCGGTCAAAAGTTTGAATTTGCAACACTTCAGGATAGGTGTATGGTAATTAATATAAAACATTGGCATGCATAGTATGTAAGAGTAATTTTTTTTGGCTGGGCAGGTTAAGATGGGGCACTTTGTGTACCAAATGTTTTTGCAACAGAAAAAGAGAATAACTTTCAAATGGACAAAAATATTGCATTAATTCATCTTAAGAGAAAGGAAAAAAACCTAATTTATCTGAACTCACACAGTTATCTTACGGTCTATTGTCTCTATTGTCTAAATACTTCTAAATAAAAAATGATATGCATTGGTGCCACACTTTCTGTTGTTCCCCTTGCAGCTATTGTTTGGTCTCGTCACACAATGCAACATATTCCCTGTTGGAGAGAGAGTGCATTGCATGATGAGACCAAACACTTACTGCTGTTCCTTTAACAGAAAGAAAATCTAAGTTGATCGTCTACAGTTGATTGCCTCAAAAATATAAATTCACTTTATTTAATTAGGAAAAGCAAACTGACACCCTGTTGTATCTCTAATAGATACTAACCAAAGATATATTGTGATCTCAAATAAGTGAAGATACACTGAACAAGAGAAAAGGATAATATTTCAAAGAGGGCTCCTTGATTGGTTGTTGCCTATCTGGACTTTGCCCTCTGTGTGTGAAATATGCAATCAAATGCAGGTTGTTTAAAAGAAATTGACATGCAATTGGATTAATCCAAAGGTAACAAAAAGCCAATTCTATTATTAGAAAAAGTCAAAATGTGCAAGAATTGTGTGGAAAATTCACTATCAGTAGCATTTAGTACCATGTTAATTTTTTCCAATGGTGTTGGACAATGCGGTTAGAGTAGGTGATTAAATGCAGGTTTATGTAGTAGTTTAGTTTGATCATCCGGGTGAGTGTAGTCCTGAGAAGGACTGTTGTTGGTAGTGGTGACTGATGTCAGTCTCCACTACCGAGGGGGAGGGGGAGCTGGCACATTTTGAGTTTGCTTGACTTTTGCTGAGTTTTAAGTTGTTTATCACCAGAACTACAACCCCTTCTCTTATGT